AATTAAATACCTTTGAAAAATCTGTCTCATGTATGAAGTTCTGCAGTATTAATTCATTCTTCCTTTTTTAAAATCAAAGGATTCTTTGCTTTAGATATTCTGCTTATGGTCAAGCATAAATGATTTACTGCTTGATTAAATAATTCACATATAAAATTAGATTGACAAAAGGTCCAGCAGACATTTACAACTTTAATATATAAATCTGCACAAACACTTCATACTTACTGAACTCTCTAGGTTTCTCTTTATTTACATTTCTCTCTTGAAAGTAAATTAATTCTCTAATATGCGTAACCTTAACTACTGTTTTTTTTATCTCTGTTCCATTCTCAAGAAAATGTTATATCCAAGTCTGCCATATTCTGGTAACGCGACTAGTTTCTTCTTTCAGATATGAATATCAGTAGAAGAATATTTATTTGACAGCATTGATCTATGTTTCTTTTCTAATTATGTTAAATGACTATTTCCCTGGACATCATAGTTCAATTTGTTGTATAATCACTAGATAACCCTTTAGGGGTCCTCGATGCTCTTTGAGCTTCGTTTCCTTGCAGACATTTCATTATCCAAACTAAGTAATTATCAATGCTAATTAGAAAGGAGGGGTCTCTCTCAGTTTATATTCTAGTGACTTGCCCTGTCAGTGTTGGCGGGAGTGGTCATGGAGGTTCTTTGGTGAACTTTTTGCTGTTAGCTTGTTTGGCAGTTCCTTGATTGGGGTATTGTTTACTTCATGGATGTTGGTCTGATGTTACTCTTGGAATTTATCTATGCTCATCTGGGTGTTGATTACTAGTGGGGAGGTATTTTGGTCTTTTTGTTCCCTTGTTGGCTGAAGCAAAACAAGCCAGCAATCAACATGTAATGTTGCATCACTTATCAATGGGAGTACCAGCAAGTACTGCAAATAACCTGGCACTATAGTATGTAGGACTTTAAAAGTGAAAACCAACATCGTGAATTGTTCCCAGAAACCTATTGGGAGCCAGTGCAGGTTGTACAGTTGTGTTGCAATGTGGATAGAATGAACTGCACACATAACAACCTGTACCATTGTATTCTGAATCAATTGAAGCTTATGAAGGTCCTCAAAGGCAATCCCATGTAGATCAGGATGCAACCATTATGTGTCTAAAGTGTGAGTGCCCATGAGCAAGGCCTTCTAGTATAAAAAATGGGAGCAACTGGTCTACTACTTCCCTCTCACCAACATCATTTGGAACCAGGTCTGGAGGAAGGAGAAGAATGCTCCTTGCATTCCTAATCACCTAAATTAGTCTAGTAGGTCAATGGTACTAAAGGCTGCTGGGAGATCAAGCATTACCCCTATTCAAAACTTGCCACAAGTCATTGACAAATGTGATCAAAGCTGTCATAGTAATGTACCACTAGTCTGAATTCCAACTGAAATAATAATAATCCAATAATCCAATAATCAGATAATCCATTTCCTCGATGGTCCTCTGAATGCAAGCCTAATATAAATGGTTCATTTTATATATTGTTTATAATGGTTCAAGTTATATTTATTTATTTATTTATTTATTTATTTATTATTTAAATTTATATACCGCCCTATCTCCCTTATGGGACTCAGGGCGGAGAACAGGCGATAATAAAAATCACAATAAATATTAAATAAAAAGCCTGCTCTAAAATACCCCATATAAAAACCCCTACCAAAAACTATGCCAGGACGGCTGCATGGAATAGATGGGTTTTCTAGGCTCGGCGAAAGAGGCGCAGGTCCGCAGTTGTACGTAGGTCGGGGGGTAGGTCATTCCAGAGGGCAGGAGCTGCCACAGAGAAGGCTCTCCCCCTGGGGGTCGCCAGCCGGCATTGACTGGCTGACGGCACCCTAAGGAGGCCCTCTCTGTGGGAGCGGACTGGTCGAAGGGAGGTATTTGGTAGGAGGCGGTCTTGCAAATACCTAGGTCCATTGCCATGGAGCGCTTTAAAGGTTGTTACTAACACCACTAACATATGGTATAGGATAAGGATTATGATGATGACATTGATGATAATGATAATGATGGTGATGAAGATGATGATGATGATGATGATGATGATGATGATGATGATGATGATGACGATGATGTATGCTATAGTTCCATTGAAATGAAAAAAATAGAAAAAGGGAACTAAACAATGGACCATGAAGTGGGTTGACAAATGCCAGCTTCCTTTAATGAGCTGGATGTTTAGGTGCAGTCCTCAGCATTAAACCTCAGGCACTTCTGTAGGTTAAATCTCAGCTGAACAGCTTTCTTGAGTCAATGTTGAGCTAGATTCTAGAGTCTAGAAAAACACTTTACCATCCAGGTCCAGAATACTGGGCACACTAGTCTGAATTATACATGTGATGGCTTCAGGAATAAAAGTCCAAGACATTTAAAATTTTGGAGGAGGTTGGAACATATTATTTTCCTTTTAGACATTAATATATTTACCATAATTCATTTACTATATTATATACTTTCTTTTCCTTGGTCATCCCCATAGTATGTTCATATATATTTGTGTGTGAATATACAGTATATATTTGGTTAAATGTAACATTTTCATTTTTTTCCTCAAATTAAAATACATTTTAGTGTCATTAAAATGGATAAAAATAAATTAATTTCTATTTGTTTTCCAATTAATAATAACTCACTGCAATTATGTATACAGTTATCTAAATCAAATTATGTAGATAAGCATTACAGTGGAAGAAAAAACAGTATTTTAATTCATCCCATCAAGTATACCATAAATATATCAACTATGTATATTATGATCATAGATCATTGTTAATATAAACACACCCAATATACATATATAATATAAAAAGTAATAAAATAGCAGAAGTCATTACATGTACTATAAAGTACAAACATACTCAGGTATTAAGTCATCAAGCTATACAGTAACTCTACTGTTTGGTTCTATAGTATAACTAAACTTTTTAGATATATAGTTTTCTTGTCTGAGAATGGGTGCTACAAATAGAATAAATCTGAGAGCTTGTGAATATTTGTTAGCTGTTGGGATATATAGCAGACACAAGTGCCTGTATACAATTTACAGTAAAGGAGGACATAAGCGGTTGACTCTATGGAACTAGTGTGCATAATCTGTCAAACATGTGGAAGTTTCTTGAATTTCCCTTTTGTGGCTAGTCTGTTTCATGCAAAAGATCAATAAGGCATTTCCTATCTGCAATATATGTACATATCATCTGATCAAAGAGCTCAATGTAACCATCACAGCAAGTTCCATCATGTTCACCAGCCATTCCTCCAGTATGGGTAATGTGTTGTGCATCGTTGTGCATATAATAAACTTACTGCAGTTCTCATATATAAAAATAAAGTTCTATGACATGTTTCCATCAATCACAAAACAAAAACTTAAATTTAAATTGTGTATTTAACTTTACAAGCCTCTGAATCAGACTACGTCTTTGCTTCCAGAATTTTTTATATGTCCACCAAATATATATATAAAAAATGTTCCTTCTAGTAATTTGCATTTCCAATTTCTCTGGTGATATATACTAGTAGTACATTGCTTTATTAAAATTCTCCTTAGATTGTAATATAATGTAAATGTAAATGAAAAATCCTTTCAATCACATACTTTCCCATTTTTTCCATCTGTATATTATAATCAAAGATTTTATCCTACTTCATCATAAATTCTTTCATTTGTTTTTCTGTGTTAATTTTCAGTAAAGGTTTATACATTTTAGCTGTCACATTTTCATCATTTATACACTATTCTATGTCAAATTCAGTCTTACAGTATTCAAAGCCATGCATATCTGCTACATATTTCCAAGACATGTATAACGTTATGATTTTTAAAATCCACATTAACCTTGATTACATTATACTATGAAATCCATGTTGTGTCTTTCTAATTACCGAAGCCTTCTATTTTCAGCAAAAACCATTGTTTTCATCCAGAACAAAATTCATGCTGCAAAATACAATTTCAAACCTGTTTCAAAATTAAAAATGCAAACTAAAAAGGAAAAGAAATTTATCCTTTAGTTCATGGGTGTCAAACTGCCGACCCATGGGCCGGATGCATCATGGCAAAACCGCACCCATCCCATTGCTGGCAATGGAAAAAAAAGTCACAATACGTTGCGACACGTCATGTGATGTTGCAAGTTCAACACTTCTGCTATAGTTTATGCTTATCAATAATCACCACTACTCTTATTTTAAATCTTCATTCCCTTCTATGTCATCATTATTCATTTTTATTATTCTTTATTATTCATTAAGGAATCTGATTAGCATATATCTGTAACTATTATGACTCTGCCATAGTTTGTATTCAGTTTAAATGGTGCTTCAGAGATCAAAAGAGAGTGAAGACAGCATTTCTCTGAAACTTCTTGAAATGCTTGTCCCTTTGTTCAGAAACATAAGTCTTACAAAGAACTGCTATAAAATCCTAGAAAAAAGATAACGCTGTTTTTAAAAGTTCAAGGTGGATGCTCTGTTCTTATTCCCACACATTTGGAAACATCTTTTTGAGAACAGATTTACTTATATTTGTAGACAAATATCAATACAGAATACAGAAATGTAGTTATAGACAAGCATATAAAATATAAGATCAATGCAAATTGAACACAATCCACCTCAGTGCTTCATTTCAAGCACTGGAATCAATGAGATCGACCTTGCCATTCAAAGAGAATCAGTGGGGACTATATATTTCACCTTGAAAAGCCTAGTGGAAAAGCTTATTTGCTTTGACCAATCATTTGACTTGAAGTGAAATGGTCTTTGCACAAGCAGCCAAACCAACTAAAATAACAAAGTGAAGTGACATTGTTCTGATCCAACACCACTTTATAGATTATTGGATAGAGTGATTCTTCATACTGAATCATCACTGAAATCTACATAATCCAAATAGACGTTGTGTTTGATTTCATTATGTTGAGGAGAAACTGATTTGTTTTCCTGCATAAATATCATACTTATCAAATATCAAATTTCACACTTAAACATTTTCCACAATACAATTCTGATCTCTCTATTCCTTAAAGTGTAGATAATCGGATTCATTAAAGGAGGAATCACAGAATATAATACAGCAGTTACTACATCCAAATCTGAAGGATAGTCTGAAGTAGGCTTCAAGTAAGCAATACCTCCAGTGCTTATTGTCAAGGATACGACAATAAGATGGGGAAAACAAGTTGAGAAGGCCTTATTTCGTCCTTGTGAAGTAGGAATTCTAAGCACAGATTTGAAAATCTGCACGTATGAAATAATTATAAAACCAAAGCAACCCAGGAAAATACATGCATTGAATACAATAACTCCAACTTCAATGAGGTATGCATTATCACAGGATATTTTCAGAAGTTGTGGGATTTCACAGAAGAATTGATTGAGAACATTGGAGCAAAAAGTGATTGCAAAGGTGCTAGAAGTATGCCAGGCTGAATAAAAAAGGCCAGCTATCCATGCCATAGCTGCCAGCTGAAGGCAAGCTTTTGTGTCCATTATGGTTTCATAGTGTAGTGGATCACAGATAGCAATATATCTATCATATGCCATGGTCGTGAGTAGGAAGAAATCTGATAACATGAAGAAGAATAAAGAAAATACTTGTGTGATGCACCCATAGTAGGAAATCTCCCTGGAATTCAAATAAGCATTTATTGTGGCTTTGGGAATAATGACAGAAATAGACCCAAGATCCATAACTGATAAATTCATTAAGAAAAAATACATAGGTGTATGGAGTTGATTATGGAAGGACACTGCTGAGATAATAAGAAAATTTGCAATCAAAGCAATTAAGTAGATCACTAGGAAAAAAATGAAAAGTAGTATATTTTGTTCAAACCGCTCAGAAAAATCCAGAAGAAGAAAAATAGTGATGTCACTTAGATTAGACATATTTTTCCTGGAGAATGTTCACTGCATTTCTGTGGAAAAAATACAGATTATCCAATCATATATCAATAAACTTTCTATTATGAATAATAATGGAACTTTTAACTAATATTGGAATAAAAGTGTAAAGATTTGTGAACAGTTTGATCATACATTTTTACCATAAAGTACATAGGTGTATGGACCATTAAATTGTATGACTGGCGCTGGTTAGAGATGTTAATATATTAATTTGGGCCTTTTAATTAAATTAAAGAGACTTATTAAGGTATTTTCTTGTTTGAGAAGTATGAGCAAGTGTTACTCTATTCCCCCAGTCAAGGTCAATCCAATCTATAAAGATATCTTACAAATAATTGAACTCAATTTTTTTTCTAATTTCCAAATGAAGCTTCTCTATCCAAAATGATAACACAAAAGTGCTTTCATAAAATGAAATATTATATTTTGGGATAGTTAGTGAATCAGAGCTGTTATGGTTTTGAATAGCTATGGCTGCTTTTAAAGAGTGAATGTTCTGTACTTCTGTTTAATCAAAACATTTCTGAGCTTGGATGATATGCATAACTAAGAACATAGAAAAATAGGATTGGAAGGGACCTTGGAGATCTTCTATTCCAACTGCTGATCAAGCAGAAAACCCTATACCATTCCAGACAAATGTTTTTTTTTCCATCTCTTCTTGAGAACCTTTAGTATTGGAGCCCCCACAACTTCTAAAGGCAAGCTGTTCCACTGATTAATTGTTCTGTCAGGAAGTTTCTTAGTTCTAGGTCAGGTCTCAACCACTTTACAGCATCAGGCCAGCCTAAAGTTTCCATCCACCAAATCGAGAATTCCTACTAATTGGAATGTGCATTGTTAAATATGATGGGAGGAATTTTACTTTACTTAAGCTATGATGGGAAATCTTCAGGAATTTTTCGGATTCTGAACTAGACTAAAAAGTTCGTGGGGAAAGAGAGTAGTAGCTCTGTTTCATATATTTGACAAGAAAATTATTTCTGGTCTATCACAAGGCATTAATAATCTGGTTTTGCCATCACAAATGGAGTAGATTGGGTGTATCTGTTTCTTAGTTTTATTGAATGTGGGATGTTAAGAGTATTCTCAACTGCTACTCTATGTTATTTATGTTGTTTCCAGCTTTGGTTGCTTTTATTTTATTTTAATCATTAGCCTCCCAGAATTATATACATAAGATGGATGCCCATATTGAGTAAATAAATAAACAAGCAAACCAACAAACATAAACATGAACATCAAGTCATCTGGAAATTACTTGATCTTGGAAAACTATATTATTTTAATCTTACACATTTCAATATATTATTTAATGAATTAAATATCATATTCCTGCCCCCAAAATCACCTCTATCCAAAATCTTTTTTAATGCTAAAACACTGCTTTACTTACCTCTAGGAGGTTGAATCCCTCTCAAATTTAATAGGAATTAAGTTTTTTTTCTAAATTATGTGGATGCAGTGTTAATATACAGTGTTTCTTTAGTGCTATAACATGGCTTTCACATCTACAATAAAGAGTAAAATGAAGGATGAAAGAGTTGATACACACAGAGAAAAAAGTATGATATATAGAAAAGAGATAAATTACCTCTCAATGCAACATCTTAATTCATCTTAATGGTGTTTTCATTAAGGTATCACTGAAGAAAAATTACACAGCCTATAACACATTTCCTAGAAATCCATGCTTTTCTGATTATTAGTTGGATGAGATTACAATACTTTTTCATTCTGTTGAATTATATTTCATAAGTATATCTGCAGTACAACAGAGTCCAGTATAGATGAATAATGGATATCCCAAGAGAAATTAGTGCATTAGTAATTTGAAATAACTCTCTCTGGAAAAAAAAACAACAACCTTAAATGTCACAACATATCTGTAAGTACTTTGTGTTCATATACTTACTGATAAACAGTATATTTTCCTTGAAATGCTGGGTGTGGCCAACTTGATACAGCCAACTCGCCATGGCCAACTCACCCCGGGACAACTCGCTGTGGTCCTCTTACCATGATACAACTTGCTGTAGGACAATTCAACAATTCAATTTAAATATTTAAAATAATTAAATATATATATTATTTTTTATTATACACATTTCATTTTGTCCCTCCCTTGGCATCCTTCCTTTAATAGTTCTATTCCACCATTTCTTTGATATTGGTGTAATTCTTGTTCTGCGGCAAGTTGTCCTGTGGTGAGTTGACTGCAGCAAGTTGACCATGGCAAGTTAGTGATGGCAAATTGGCCGTGGTGAGTTGGCCATGCCCAGTTGTTCCATTTCAAGGAAAATATACTGTTTATCAGTAAGTATATGAACACAAAGTATTTATAGATATTTTCCTTCCCATAAAAGCAAATATATGTTTTCAAATACTTGGTGAATACTTTATATGGGAAGAAGAGCCTTTGAAATGATTTGTGTTGGTTTCAATAAATGAATAACTATTTCTTGTAATGTTCAGTCAAAATCTATTGCCCCATGATGTAAGATTTATTCCTATGTTTTAGACCTAATTTGGCAGTGCTTCTCTTTTCTGTGAAAGATAGAAGAGACAATATTTTTTGCAGGAAAATCATGCAACACTCAATGATCAAAAGCCTTTGTTTTAATTTGCACAGCATTGATGCAAAAAGGGATGGGGCTTCAATCATCTCCTTATGCCACTATTAGGAAGCCAGTAGTGGTCGTAGTACATGCCTGTAGCATACCTACACTATAGAACATGTTATGGGGGGCCCTGGGGGGAATTCTGTTTTTGTTTTTATGAGTTATGACAATCATTATATATATGCTTAAATCCTGTAAATACATATATTTAAGACAGAAAAAAAGTTGAAATTGGATCTTGATTGTTTTCAACCAATATATTATTTGTAATGTTGCTTAAAGAATTAGCATTAAAGGAAGAGTTCCATACAGAATCTTTGAAAATGAATGTGCAATTCTCCAATCCTGTTAGATAATTCCTTAAACTGGAGTCTCTATGATTTGTTTGAACTTCTTTTTTCCAGATTACCTAATTAAAGGACTAATATTTTACCAAATAATATTGGAAGATTCATATGCTTTTTTGTTTTCCATGTTTTGAAATGCTCTCTGTTCTCCCAGGACATTCAAAATATCTCTGACATGTGCATGACATGTCACCTCTATTACCCTGAAGGCTTTATGCTGTGTCTTATATTGCACAGAAATATTTGCAAACTCCATTTATTTAATTAGATGCTCAAATGAGCATTGATGATGCCATAATGAAAGTTCTATCCCTTACATACTCATGTTGCGCAATTTTAAAACATGCATACAATAAGGATACAGTGATGCTCATTTTATTATTTCCTTCCTCTCCTTTGCAAACCACGGGTAAAACTATGAGGAAGATTTATCACTTGATTCCTGCTTCACTGATTACATTGCCAAATGTATTGCTTTCAGCCTTTCTGTAATCTAGCTCAGGAATATCTACATAAAACTGGCTAAGGATGAGGAAAGAGAACATTCTCCTATACTTTTAATGTTAATTTTGTTTCTTTAAATACTCAGGATTAGATGATACTGGCTGAGAGAGATGGGAAGGATTTTTACCTAGTTCCTTCACTGGCCTTGTTAAGTCTCATGTATTGTATGGATTCATCAGAATTACTTGCAGATTTTTTTTCTGTGCTTTCACATCTTGATGCTCTTAGCTCAGTCATAGCTAACTTTGCTGGTACTGATATGGTGGGCAAGCACTGAAAGTGGACAGATGCAAAAGCAAAGATTCCCCAGGAAGATCATCAATGAGAGAAGATTATAAGCTTGTCATCACATCCAGAGGGCTGTAACAGTGAAGAATTCTTTTTGTTTTGTTTTCTTTTGCTGCCATCTAGTGTTCAAATAATTTTTTAAGAAAGGCTGAGCGCAAAAGAATTGAGGCCTTTGAACTATGGTGCTGGAGAAGACTCCTGCGAGTCCCCTGGACTGCAAGGCGATCAAACCGGTCAGTCCTAGAGGAGATCAACCCCGACTGCTCTTTAGAAGGCCAGATCCTGAAGTTGAAACTCAAGTACTTTGGCCACCTAATGAGAAGGAAGGACTCACTGGACAAGAGCCTAATGCTGGGAAAGATTGAGGGCAATAGAAGAACGGGATGACAGAGAATGAGGTGGCTGGATGGAGTCACTGAAGCAATAGGCATGAGCTTAAATGGACTCCAGAAGATGGAAGAGGAGAGGAAGGCCTGGAGGAATGTTGTCCATGGGGTCACAATGGGTCAGATACGACTTCACAACTAACAACAACAACAATTTAAAGAATTTAGAGAACCAATTAGCGATAGTGATTAAAGCATCAGGCTAGAAACTGGGAGATTATGAGTTCTAGTCCCACCTTAAGAACAAACCCAGCTGGGTATCCTTGGGCCAGTCATTCTCAGTCCTCCAAGGAGACCACGGGAAATCACTTCTGAAAAATCTTGCCAAGAAAACTGCTCCAACCTGTCCAGGCAGTTAATGAACTTACTTTCACCTCATAGGCTGAGTTTCTTGCTTCATATCCTTTATACTGATCATTCCAATCTAAGGCTTCTTATAGCAAGTCCGGTGACTGCTTATCAATTCCATCCATTTCCACTCCCAGAAATAGAACTTGGACACCCAAGAGAAAGGCAAACTCTGTCTATTGCAACAACTCCTATGTGCATATGTAAGATTTCCAATTCAATTCTTATACAAATATGTTTCATTATATAAAAAGTCGTAGCAAACATAACATTTATAGAAGTTCATTTACTAACTTTAATTTATTCATGCAATCAGAGCAATTTCAAAAGGATTTGAATGTTTGCCCATAACATTTCTAAGACAAATATGTATATATATTTAAAAAAACTTCTTAGAGTTTTTTAAGTAGTGCATGAGTTTTTAATAAGAGAAAATTTGGTTTTTATTCCAGATAAAGCAAATTCCCCACCTTCTTATAAATTGCATA